CAGTATGTAAATTAGGTACCGTAAGTCTAATACAGTACTGTAATTTTATACATTTCTTGTGAAAGAAACATTTCTTATTCAACGGCGATTAAAATTAATTATATTAATGATGTCTCCAAAGTTCAACGAAGTTTTCACAGAAAAATAAGTTGTTAGAAATCGGCCACTGTTTGCTGAGCTGTTCCGCATGAAAACAAGCTTTAGCAATGGCGATGTCAAATGGTGCACACACTAATCCTACAATTTTTTGTTTATAGCGTAGTTTATATGGATTATTCCCAAAAAAAATATACGTATTTTGGAAATGTTGAGTCGGATTAGTCTAGAATCGATTAATTTTATGGAAGAAAACCTTTCAATCAGCCGTAGTTCGTAAACTTCACACGTGTTCGGCTGTGATTGGAAGGACTCGTAAGAAATTGGATTCCTAAAGAATGGAACGTATCTATGATCTTATAGGGGGTGTCGACTGTATTGGTTTCTTCATTAGAAAGAGTCAAACATGTTTAAATTAATTTGATTAAATGCTATTTGGGATTTTCACTCCCTCTTCAGATCAACTACATTCTGAACTGAACATAGTTGAATCCCATGCCCCTTTCAGATTGGTGGGGTGTGAGTTATACAATGGCGTTGGTTACATATCGATTTTCAATTGCACTTATGGAGCAATGACTACTCCTGTACATGCATGTGTATCCCCTCAACGTGGAGAAACACTCAGATGGAGGCGATATTGCTCCCATGTGGGCGTTTTTCAATGTTGAGGGGGTGATTACTAACAATTTATATTTTGGGAGGCAAAAAAACAGTTTTCTGGGCGATATAGTAAAACATTATATTAAGAATAATTAGGTATTTTATTCGTTATATCATACAATAATTAAACAAATGACGTTATACTAGTCACTATTCTATTCAATGCAGTACGAATTTGGCGTTAGTCTTGGCCCTTGGTATCAAAATTTTGTAGTGAAGGGGGTGATACTATGTAACGGTTTTACTGAAGGGGGTGATACTACATTGAAGGGGGCGACGATTCATTAGAGGTTGAGAAACACTGGTCTATATGGTGAGGTGGGTTATGCAAAGGTTTATTTTTGTGCTATCAATTTTCTGTGGGATTAATGCCATTACAATACAATTCTGTTCACTAGTGCAAAATTTTGGTTAAAACATTGCAGATTATACTCACAAAATAATAATTAAAAGTAAGTGAAGATCCACTGAACTCAAATCTTTCTAATACTTTTCTTACAGAGAATTTCAATATATTATTTAATACAAATATACTTTATTACACATACATAGATTATTATTACAATGAAAGGGTTATAATCCTTTCATTGTAATAATAATCTATGTGTCCATAATAAAGTATATTAGTATTAAATATCACAAAAAAAAGGAATTAAAGGTTTGTTATTAATTTCAATGCATTAGTTTTTATTTAGATCTGTGCATTATTGTTTAATATTAAGTAGTTTTAATATGCATTTTCTGTTTGGAGAATAAGCATTGAATGAAAGATGGCCATTGATTTTGATACTTTGCATTTACTTAATTCCATATTAAACAATTTTATTTTACTCTATAGTCTGTAAAATTCATATTAGAATGCTAAAAGTTTCTTTTGTTATACAGAATAAGGTTTGTTATGCATACACACACTATATTGGAAGAAGTCTCCAGATACAAAGATGAATCTCTTTACTGACAGTTTAGATCAGTGGTTGCCAAACATTGCATTTAATGGTTTCCAGATGTACAGAAAACTGTATGGTAAAGGGCACAAAGTGTGAGGTTAATTGAAAAATTTCCTAAGAATATTTTCAAGCTCTGAACAAGGGAAAATGGGTAGGGGGCATTGAGACCAAAGGTAGTGGGTTGTAAATTTATATATTTATAATAATATTATATATACCAGTATTTATATTAGCCATTTGATTATATGATCTGGAAGTAAACGAGTCAAAGATGGTAAATCAAATTTGTTAGTGCAAAGCTTGTTATTATTAGATTATCAGCACAAAACCTTTCTCACTAATTTCTAGCCTTATTAACTGGAGTACAAATGTTTTCGGCCTTCTTAATAGGCCTTCCTCGGGTACACTGTGGAGCGTCAGTTAGAAGAAGTTTAAATGCTGCCAATGTTTACCCAGGTATCGTCTTACCAGTGACATCATCGTCGATGATAGGTATACAATACCGAGGGCGAAAAATACATACTTTTGGTAAAGAAGGGAGGTGTGCAGATAGGATACTTGCTAAAGTTGGGGAAAAAGGTTTTAGAGTAAGCGCGCTACGTATAGGAGATGCACAATCACAACAGGGGGTTAGTGGGGAGTGACGTCATAGTTGAGGCCGTAAATATTCAACGCTACAGTAAGAAGAGGCGTGCGAACGACCGTGGATGGGAAGGGGGTTACGATTAGAAGGTAGAATTGGAAATAAACGCGACAAGTAAAAAAGCGCTAACGGTTGCACGCGGTGAGGGTGGGATGGTCTATTTATTTCAAGGGGTTGTCGAAGAATGATTTCCAAGCGGAGGAGAGCGAGTCCGCATCTCTGCTGTTGATACAACCGTCTTTGAGGGATTGCTTAAATATTTCAATTGTTTCGACTGTTCTAAGCTTGGTGTGGTCGTGCATAGGAATAGTAATCCTCGCCTCTTCCCATTTGGTCGTTATACCAGGTTCGCTTGCAAACTGGGCAAGGGTGGAAGTGAATTTTTTGTTGTATGCGTCGTACTTGTGCTCAGTTATCCTCCTTTTAAGCGATCTATTGGTTGAGCCAATGTATGTTAGCTTCTTGCACGGGTTAGATCTGCCGTCCTCCAATGGGACGGTGTAGACTCCTGGTCTCCTGGCTTCGCTGCATTTGTCCTTGGTGTTAGCTAGAAGTTTATAAATCGTAGGGTTGCGTCTGTATGCGAGAGTAGCGTTGACCTTTTTTGCTATGAAGTTATAGGCCTGGCTCATTCTAGGGTCAAAATCGACGGTAATGCGCTTACCTTGTTGCTTTAGAGGTTTAGAATTGGCATCTCCGGTTGTTAAGCATCTATGAGTTTTTTGCGCAAGCCTATCGATAAACTTACTGCTGAAACCGTGGGCTGTGGCAATGCGCTTGATGTGTTGGATTTCTCGTAGCATGTCGTTAATGCTAGAGCAATGGGTAAAAGCTCTGCGGATAAGAGCCCTAAAAGCGGACATTTTGTAAGTAAAGGGGTCATTCGAGGTTGCAGGGATAAAGAAAGATTGAAGATTAGGCTTATGGAACACATTTGTAGTTATGCAGCCTTGATTCAAGAAGATATTGAGGTCCAGGAAGTGGGCCATCTTGTCATCCTGCTGGTCTAATTTAAGCTTAAGTCCAAAAGGGTTGTTGTTCACAATCTGAAGAATGGTGTTCAGATCCGGCTTGGACTTCCAAATGATAAGAATGTCATCAACATAGCGCGTATAGAGAACGATTTGTTATTATTAAGCTTGAATTTAATTATTTTTAATCAGAAATGTTGTATCTTTAATAGTGTGTAAGGAATATGTAGTTATAGTAAGTAATAATGTGTTCTTTAACTCAATCAATATTTTTTGCCATATATTAAATATTACTACCAATTATAAACAAAACTAAATATAAATATTTAAAATGAGCAAAATAACCTTGAATAATAAACATGGTGCCCATACTGTGATGCTTTTGGCATTCAACATGTTAATAGGCCTCAAGTTAGCTGCCAACCAGAGTTTGACAATAAACTGGATAATGTGCTTGTTGACTCTGATAACAGCTAGCAACTTCAAAACTACACACTGTTATTGGACTATAAACTAGCTTTTAAGTTAGGTTTACAATGTCATAGGAACCATTATGAAAGAATGAAACAAATTCTAATTATAGTGGAATATTGTTTACGTTGTAGTACATGAGCTAAACTGAGTTAGAACTTCATTTCAAGAATCATAGAATTGTTTAAAAGGATTCCAAACACTAATTATGAAAATACAATTGGTCAAATGAAGTAAATGTGAACCTAGCTTTATAGTTAGAAGTTAAACAATTAGCATTCATGTACTTAAAGTGAATGAAAATTGCTTCAACTTTTAACTCTAACTCTCAACCATCAGTTGCAAATATGACTGTTAGTAGAGGTAAGTATACCGACAAAGTCATATTTGGAAATTTGCCAGTTTGTAAAATAACAACACACATTTGTTTAATAAAATGAAAGTGGTGTTTATGGCACACTTCAGAAATTAACACAGGAAGTATATTTATTTGTGACATTTGGGTCATATGTTAATTGTTAAAAGTATAATATATAGAATATGGTTTATTCTTCAAAGAAGAATTTATAATCTAAGTTATTGAAAAGATTTATGTTTGGAGGATTTCCATGTTGTATGTGATGACTGCAGTATTGGTTTCTTCATTAGAAAGAGTCAAACATGTTTAAATTAATTTGATTAAATGCTGTTTGGGATTTTCACTCCCTCTTCAGATCAACTACATTCTGAACTGAACATAGTTGAATTCCCATGCCCCTTTCAAATTGGTGGGGTGTGTGTTATGCAATGGTGTTGGTTACATATCGATTTTCAATTGCACTTATGGAGCAATGACTACTCTTGTACATGCATGTGTATAGTCTATATGGTGATGTGGGTTATGCAAAGGTTTATTGTTGTGCTATCAATTTTCTGTGGGATTAATGCTATTACAATACAGTTCTGTTCACTAGTGCAAAATTTTAGTTAAAACATTGCAGACTATACTCATAAAATAATAATTAAAAGTGAGTGAAGATCCACTGAACTCAAATCTTTCTAATACTTTTCTTACAGAGAATTTCAATATATTATTTAATACAAATATACTTTATTACACATACATAGATTATTATTACAATGAAAGGGTTATAATCCTTTCATTGTAATAATAATCTATGTGTCCATAATAAAGTATATTAGTATTAAATATCACAAAAAAAAGGAATTAAAGGTTTGTTATTAATTTCAATGCATTAGTTTTTATTTAGATCTGTGCATTATTGTTTAATATTAAGTAGTTTTAATATGCATTTTCTGTTTGGAGAATAAGCATTGAATGAAAGATGGCCATTGATTTTGATACTTTGCATTTACTTCATTCCATATTAAACAATTTTATTTTACTCTATAGTCTGTAAAATTCATATTAGAATGCTAAAAGTTTCTTTTGTTATACAGAATAAGGTTTGTTATGCATACACATAACAAACCTATATTGGAAGAAGTCTTCAGATACAAAGATGAATCTCTTTACTGACAGTTTAGATCAATGGTTGCCAAACATTGTATTTAATGGTTTCCAGATGTACAGAAAACTGTATGGTAAAGGACACAAAGTGTGAGGTTAATTGAAAAATTTCCTAAGAATATTTTCAAGAAGGGAACTTTCTTGAACAAGGGAAAATGGGTTGGGGGCATTGGGACCAAAGGTGGTGGATTGTAAATTTATATATTTACTGGCTGTTACCTGCGACTTCGCCCGCGGAGGTTTTGCAAGCAAACCCCATTTATATTCAGTATTTCAACAACCATAGTAATTGTTATATAACATCTATCGCCGAGAATGATGAGAATTGCTGAGAATCAAACAAACTATTTTCAATTTGATNTCTCTCTATGTTGGCTCTAGACAAGGGTTTCTCAACAGGGGTGGTATTGACACTTAAAGGGATTTATGAAAATTTGAGGGGGATTTGATACAACTTTCAAATAAAAAATTAATTTATAAATATTAAAAAGTTTACACATTTTTTTTTTTTTTAGTGTAGGAAGATGTCTTTTAAAAATTATGTAACAGGTTATGGTGCATATACAGTGAAAACTGCTTGGGCGACCACCTGCATTTGACAGGCACCTGCCAAAATGGGCAAAAATTTCTGGCATCGAATAGTTTATCCATAGAGTCTTCGTATAAGTTACCTGTATTAAATGACCACCTGTGTAACATGACCATGGGCATCGATTTTTGGTCTGAAACAAGATACACCACCTGTAATAAGCAACCACTTCTGCGAATGTATCTGGTCAAAACTATTGTTCAACAACGTTTCCCCCTCCTAATATAATGAATTAGTGTAAACTCTCATTCGAACCCATCTCGGGCACTTCTCCCACCCTCGAAATTAGGTCCAGGTGTTAACGAATTAGTCTAGCAACAAAGGAAATTCGTTTCAGTTTGAAATTGCCCAAAAAACGAAAAAATGCAAAGCGCTGTCGTTAGAAGATCGTGTTAAAGTTATCACAACAGCAATTAGCGGTGAAGTTTAACTGTGGGAAAGCGAAATCGATTTTACCCTAGACCTATAGTATTTTCCTTGGGATATAAAATATTGTACACGATGCAATTAATCAGCTGATCTCATCATTTGATAAAATTTATTTTTATTTATTTATTTTGAAGCTCTATATACAGTACATGTGCGATAAATAGTTTCTGTATCAACCTACCTTATTTCCATGATATTTTTAGGAAAATAACATTCAAGTAATTTTCGCAGGCAAAATATTCAAAAAACAATAGATGCATTAATGCAAAAATCAGTTTTACAGGCAACCTTCCTTTTTCGATTCCGCAATGACAATCGCGGAATGTAATGAAATCGTATAATGAGAAAAAATAATAAAATTGTTTTATTATTAATTAATAATTTTTCTTATTGTACTTAACAAAATATTAATTAAATATTAAAAAATACAGTATTGTTAAAATTAAAATAAGATTAAATTAACGAATATTAAACAAAAGTGATGTAGAGATACCACGCACTTGTATATCAATGACATAATACATGTAACGGAGGAGTGAATGAAAAGAACCGAGTGAAGTTAATTAAGTTGGAAGAAAGAAAGTGTGCGTTATAATCGAGAAAATGCGACTATTGTATTAATCTTTAAAATATTGGTATTAAATCTGTCGACTCCTGTAAATCAGGTTATCCAATAAGAATAAAATACAATACAGTACCAATATAGTCCTATCGTTGAAAAAATTTGCTTATTTTTGCTCACCTTGAGTTTTGCTTAGTAGAAATGGCTAAAAAGTGCTCAAAATACTTACGGAAATACAGTATTACAGCACCACCTGTATTGGATGACCACCTGTCTAAAAGACCACCAACCGTGGGTGGTCACCATAGACAGGTTTTGCTATATTTATATATAATAATGAAGGGGGTCAAAGGAGAAAACATTCCTTAAATGGGTTTTTTTAAATCCCTTTCAAGAAACCCCTTGGGAACCACTGCTCTAGACCAAGACTACTAAACTGTGTAGGCACACTGTTCTGTTCCACCTTAAGTGGTGTAATATCCAAATTCACACAAGTTGGCTGTAAAGGGAATTGGTGTGTTCAGAGGGCAAGTCATTAGTCACTTAGACTTTCTTTATGCTTTAAAGCTTAGAGAAAGTTTAGAGAGATAGAACTAATTGTGTCTGCTAGGTTTGAAGACCTTTCCTTGTGTTCTTTTTTTAGTCTTCTCCCTCATACTTTATTTTCTATCCCATTATTTTCCCATCTTACCAGGCTCCATATGGTATTGTCTTTTTTTTAATGTTTTCTAAGTTTACAAGGTCTGCTACAACCAAGCATATAAAACAACAACATTGGTGGTTGGTTATGGGTTGACCCCAAACAATGGGTCAGCCATGCAGTTTTTTCTGGATTTTCTTTGCATGTCTGATATTCAAATACGGGCAAGTTTCCCATAGAATTTCCACCTGATTTCTAATACAGTTGTATACAATTATCAAATATATTACACACTTATTTTTATTTAAATTTTTAAATAATAAAAGGAAATAAATTTTTTTCTCTTTGCAGATAAATGTGTAACGTAATTTTTAATTCTGTTTGAGAGGAAAGATGAGGTAATATTTTCTGAATTCTTTTCATTCTAAATGTAAATTTTATCTTAATTATTCTCATTTCCTTAAAATAATTAACTTCTTTTGTCCTTAAAATCTAAAAACAAAACACACTTTTGCATCCTTCGGACACAGGAAAATGCCAAGGTTGTTTTGTTAAAATGACAAAGTACAGAATGTTCAAATTTCTGCTTGTCTGTTTAATTTAACAAAATGTATTAGAACCAACTAAACTTATAAGTCCCAAAATGTTTTGTTTGTCACTTAAAAATGAATGGATTAAGAATAATTTGATGTTCCATTCATTGGGAACAAACAAATGAAAAACAAAACATTACAACTCATCTGCTTTGCATTAGTCTGACAAAGGAGGAGGAGCACAATACACACTATTTATTATGAGTAAATGTATAAAGTAGCATGTGTTGTTCTCTTTGTGTTTCTTTAAAAACTTACATGTTTTCTCAATCCAATTAATCCTGTTTTTTGTATACAGGATTAGTCAGTTGACATTTTTCCATTCATCTTTGATAACTGAGCATTTGCTTCAGTGCTTGAGCCAGAGGATGACTGAAATTAAGTTATTGGATAGATAGTACCCAAGCTTAAGGTTGTCATTAATTAATATATAAACAAGTGTTTTGCTTGCAAGTTGAATTATAGGTTGCTATTTGCCATTTAAGGCAGTGTTTTTCAACTAACCTGTTTACTCAATCCACCTGTGGACTGGCAAAATAGGAATAATATTTTGCCGACCAGCATAAGACTAAAGATAAATTTTCCTAAATTTAAACTTGGATGTGGATGATGCATGCAACTGCCATAACTGGCCATAATAAGACACTAGTTTCTATGTATTGCAATGGTGTTGCTTTCCCTCCCACATGATCAATCACTCAAGTTGCATGCAGCCTCAATAAAATAAGAATGTCACCAATAAGTGAGCTGACACAATACTGCAACACCTCCTAAGTATAACAGTAAGGGGTGTACAAAATTTTTCGTGGACTCAAGGTTGAAGAACAGTGATTTCAGACATATGACTAGTCCTTATGCCATCTCTGTTTGGCATACTCTTTATGATTACATACTAATTTTAAATTTAAATTTCCATATAGTAATAAGGCCTTTGAAATTGGAGGATGTAATCAATTATGTGCTCAGTATGTACAACTTTAATTGAATATAGTGTCTAGCTGTAGCTGACAGACCTTTCGTCAGCTACTGCTGCATCAACACTGCATTGTATGGCACTTTTTTATTAATAGTGTATGAGTAATTACTTCTCTGATTATTTTAAAAAGATTAATGAATAGAAATACTGAAGGACAAAAGAAATATTTATATTTCTGTAGTTTTTGTAGTAGGAGTTACAGTTCTGTACTCCTTCTTTTCTGAAGGAGTATAGAACTGTAACTCCTACTTAATCTTAAAAGTTTGAACAATGAACTAACAAGCAGACAACTTCAGTGACACTATATAATACTCTGAAACCTAGAAAATGTCAAATGCCCTTTGCTATAGGTACTTCAATCACACTTTCTCTTCTTTTATAACACTTCCTTGTCATTGATATTAAGTACATCAATGGATTTGGAATTTAAAGAACTAAACAACATAAAAATATAGACTTTTTAACACATTTGTATGCCCAAGTTTATTCATGTAACATAATATTTTTTCATAATTAAGATAGCTGAAAAATACTCATTTATTTTAATCCAGGGTGCTATTTGTGTACATATGTATAGTTCATTTTGTTTTTGTCTGTGGACACCCACTTGGCAACATCTCCACCACATTTGTGGACAACTGGTCTAGCTACTGGTTCTTAAGACTGATGGTTAATATTTTAGGATATGCGACCGTGCTAGTTCCTGGAGCTATTATTATTTTTATGATTAAAAGATCAAATTATCTGGATAGAAAAGGTTAGTTCATGTTTGATTTTTAAATTTATTTTTTAAATATTATTATTTTTCTTGTACTAATCAAATTTTATATTATATATCTATATGAAAAGTTTCCTAGCTGATATAGTCTCTATTTTAAGATGATAAAATTCCTGAAATTACACTCATTATATGAGAAATGCAACTGTACAAAACACAAATTTTAGGAGTTAAGAATATTTTGTAATTTTTGTAGAACTTGTAAAATTCATACCCATGAAGATAACTGAAAAACAGAGATAGCTACAGTTACAAAAGCGATATATAGTTATAGTAAAATAGCACTACTAAGTGAGACCACTTGCAGTGCCTGCGGTAAAATTTGGAAGTTAGTGTTCCCATCTCAAAAATGATGTGCAATATGGAGAAAAGTTGACTACTGAGTTGTAGAATATGACTGATTTAGTATGAAAGAGTGTCGTATATGAATATCATGACTATAAAGCAAGAAATGCTAATTTGTTGGTATTTGATTCTGTCAATACTACATCACTAATTACATTGGAAAGAATGGGAAGTGAAACCATGTGTGAGATGTAGTGAACTATTCCAATGAGTAACAAGAAGCTCTGTCCTGGATAAAAATATGCATTTCCTATTCTGTTCCTATTTCTCATAATTGTTGCTCTTTGAGGCATTTAGTGATGTAGCATCAATAGGAATTGAATAGAAGCAAATTAGCATTTCATGCTTTCTATTCTGCTATTCATGTATACTGGGTATCCTTTTGTACTAAATTGGTCATATTCTATAGTTTTATAACTGATCTTTTCTTGTGTTGCACATTGTTTTTGTGACAGGAAGTTCTGAGCTTTACCATTAGGGATGCCACAAGAAGTCTCGACTTGTACTGGTAATATATGCCATATTTTCGGGACTGTATACCATAATGTTAAAAAACAAAATATTTATAAAATGTTTAGTTTGATGGATGTTAGGCTGCAGTGAAAACGTTTAAAATAATCTTAAACTTTCAAAAAATGAATAATAGTGAGCATTGAACCATTAAATAAAGTTTTATGGTTAGTCCTTTGCTGTGTATGATTACCATATGTATACACAGCAAAAGACTAACCTTTCTTCCTCATTCAAAATCTTCTGAATCACTGGCTTAACTATTGGAGACAAACAGTTGTCATTTTTGCCTCTAACAATTTGTTATTTACACCTACTTCTTCCAATTCTTCTTCTCCTGAAAAATTACAGGTCAAATAGGGCCTTAGCTCACCTGACCTCTCCTGAAATCTTAGTGTACAAAATTTATGATCTGAGAACTGAAAGAACATTGGAAAACTCTAGAATGGATGCTAATTAAATTAATTATGTCCTGATGTACAGAAATATGATGTCTTTCTCTCCCCTTCCTTTACAACCAGTAGCCATGGGAGAGTAATTTACATGATTGTCTTAAAAAGTAACAACTGTATTTATTACATATGGACTGCACTTTTACAATGGGGTTTGCAGACCAATACATGGAATTGAATCCAAACTCAAACACAGCCAAGTGGCATGATTGACTTTAAGGTGGTCGAAAGCACTTAAATGTTTTATTGTTTGATAGCCACATTTATGTTATAATCATTAGTTTTTCTTTGATAAGCTGCAGCTTAACATCCTGAAAATACTCAGTAAACAATACTAGTATCAGATGTTTGAATGAAGAGTTTAATGTGTGTAGCAGATTTGGTGATTTCACAAACCAGCTGTTTTTGTTGTTCTATGTCTGAGAAACACTTAAAGCTTGATGTTTATTTACTACAGACTCAAGAGAGAACATTTGAAACTCTTTGCTAGTATCTCTGAGCCTATTTCTTAAATAAACTTTTCATTTGATCATCGGTGAGTGTGTATAAATAATTTCAGTATCTCAGCCTGGAAACTTTTCCAATGTAAGTTTGAATTCTTCAACAAAATCATATTTATTTCCAATATTTTTACAGATAAATCCTGCATTCAAAAATGCCTACAACTGTGTATTTATGGAACTCCAGAAGACAGGTCCAGCACCGAAAATGTGCAGACTAAACTTACCTTTTCAAATGGTGAGAAAAGCACATATCAAGAAGCCTTCCAGTTACTTTTTTGTTTCTTTGGACTTCAGATATCGTATTTGACATGGGGAGTTCTTCAAGAGAAGATCATGACTCAAAAATACAAAGATGTTTTGGGAGAAACTCAGATATTTACAGATTCTCAGTTTCTGGTTTTTGTCAATAGAGTTTTGGCATTTATTTTTTCTGGTGTGTATATATTAATTTCTAAGCAACCTCATCATGTTGCTCCTCTATACAAATATTCTTATTGCTCGTTTTCCAATATAATGAGTAGCTGGTGTCAATATGAAGCTCTGAAATTTGTTAGCTTTCCAATACAGATTCTGGCTAAGGCTTCAAAGATCATTCCTGTGATGCTGATGGGGAAGGTGGTGTCGAAGAAGACATATAGTTTGCATGAGTATGCCTCGGCAGTGATGATTTCAGTAGGAATGGTCCTCTTTCTACTCTCACAGGGAGAACAGCTTGACAGAGGCACGGTCACTTCCTTTTCCGGCTTTGTCATATTGGTAGGTTATATGTTGTTCGACAGCTTCACTTCCAACTGGCAGGGCAAGCTTTTTAATCAGTATCACATGTCTTCAGTTCAGATGATGTGTGGAGTCAATCTGTTTTCCTGCATCTTTACGTCCGTATCACTGTTGCAGCAAGGTGCATTTTACAGATCAGTCTCCTTTATGTTTCAGTTTTCTCAATTTTTTATGGACTGTGTGCTGTTGTCTATCTGTTCTGCCATGGGGCAACTGTTCATATTTTACACCATATCTCAGTTTGGACCAGTGGCATTTGTCATCATGATGACCGTAAGACAAGCCATTGCCATATTATTGTCTTGCCTGATCTACCAGCATCCCTTAAATATAGAGGGTGGAATTGGCATCACCATTGTTTTTTCAGCAACTTTTTTTAAAGTTTATTATAATCGTAAAATTAAGTTAGCCAAGCAGGCGCAGAAAATGAAGAAAGATCTGTTAAACGGACAAGCAGTTTAAATTGTTAAACAATGTAATTTTATATCAGGACGAGATTTTATGCTTTTATTTTACTGTTTGCAAAGAACAGTTAAGATTTTAATGTATAGAAATGAAAAGAGACTATTTCTGTGAGGATCCTCTTCCCGTTTTTTACCTAAAGTAAATTTTAGCTGCTGTTACAAATAGCAATACATTTAAACTGTTGTTTTATTTTTTATTTATTTGATATTTTCACCGAGTAGAATTTAGAACTTGGAGAACTCTGATTTGATAAAGTTTGGAGATAAACGTGATGCACAGAATTTGCCTATTAACTTATATGGTGCGCACATCTGTATATTTTAATTACTGAACTAGTCTGTCATGTTCGAAATTAGAAGTAAATTTCTGATTGTGTAAAAATTGTTTTGCGTTGCAGCTTAAAAACTTAAAGCAATATCTGAGTAATTGCATTGAAATGGCTTGTATTTCAGTTGAAATTTGACCATGCATTGATGGTCTTATATATTGCTTAGTCAAGAAATCTCAGCTTTGTTCTTTTATGTTTTGTACTGTTTTAAGGTTTGTGCAACTTAAAAAGTATAGGTAGCACAATAGTTGGTTAACTAGGATATAAGCACTAGGTTTTTTGTTAAATTGCTTTCAATGAAGCAATAATCACAAACCATTCTTAAACTATATCTTTGTTAATTGATTTTTGAGCCACCCTATGTATAACTGACAGTGTCTATTTATATTCGCGCACAAGATTTTGCAAATTGATAAAAAAAAAATTAATTTTAATAATCAAGTATAAATGCTGTTATATTAACCCAAATGTTGAAACTACTGTTTGATAANTGGTGCTCTAAGACATTTTTATTTCAAATATAAACATCCATTAATCCAATTTTTGATTAAAGTCAAATGAGCTGCTGGATTATATTGGATTATACAGGTAATACTACTACTATTTAATAATTAAATATTAAGTAATTTTGCCTAGAGTTTGCATTAGGCACTATCTCTTGATAAATTTAATAATTATAAATAAATTTGTTTAATTTATTTATACATTGGTGCTGTAAATAACTAGTATGGTTATATCTAAATTATGAACAATTCTGGAGGCAAAGATCAGTCTGAGTAGCGTAACTGGTGATGCATCCTCAAGATGAGCAGGAGTTGAAGGTTCAAGTCTCTCTCCGGGCCAATTCTTTTCTTGCAGAACTTCTAAAATTAAAAGTTAAATATTAATTTATTAGGCTGCAATTTGAAAAAATTGTATATATATAAATTCCCACTGTTGTCTGTCTGTCGTTCCTTAATCTTCAATGGAGTTAGATAGATGAAAGCCAAGAACAAGTATGGATAGCTTAGGGGCAGAGACCCTGATTAACTATATATGAACTTTTGATGCATACTGAAAGTCCGTTATTTCAATTAAAAAATTTCCCTTGAAAGGAGTTAGATACATGACTGGCATGATTCTATTATTAACAGGAAATGTATTGTGTACAGGGGCAAGACACTACTAATATGAGATGGAGAGCATATAATTTAAATTAAATAAATTAAAAATTGTAGCCCATTGTTGTGACAGTGTCATAATAAACAATTGCTTGTTTATAATTATTAAATTTATCAAGAGATGGTGCGCAATGCCTACATTTAGGCAAAATTACTTAATATTTAATTATTAAATAATAGCCATATTATAGCCCAATCTGGAAAAATTTTTTGACTTTTTAATTTAAATTAAGCTACAGTCTTTTTTATAGGAGCCGAGATAGGATAGTCGTGCACCCTACCTTCCATGAGAAGAGAGGTTTGTGCATGGCAATGCCATTGAAAAGCTTGCTATCAGTTTCCTACACTTTTCATGCACTTGTATTTAGTTAATACATAGCCAAGAGAAGATATAGCCTGGTGCCAAACTTATACAGAGAACAGTCAAATCTGACTGCACTTTATAACTGGATCTTTTATATTAATATCTCTCTATGTTGGCTCTAGACAAGGGTTTCTCAACAGGGGTGGTATTGACACTTAAAGGGATTTATGAAAATTTGAGGGGGATTTGATACAACTTTCAAATAAAAAATTAATTTATAAATATTAAAAAGTTTACACATTTTTTTTTTTTTTAGTGTAGGAAGATGTCTTTTAAAAATTATGTAACAGGTTATGGTGCATATACAGTGAAAACTGCTTGGGCGACCACCTGCATTTGACAGGCACCTGCCAAAATGGGCAAAAATTTCTGGCATCGAATAGTTTATCCATAGAGTCTTCGTATAAGTTACCTGTATTAAATGACCACCTGTGTAACATGACCATGGGCATCGATTTTTGGTCTGAAACAAGATACACCACCTGTAATAAGCAACCACTTCTGCGAATGTATCTGGTCAAAACTATTGTTCAACAACGTTTCCCCCTCCTAATATAATGAATTAGTGTAAACTCTCATTCGAACCCATCTCGGGCACTTCTCCCACCCTCGAAATTAGGTCCAGGTGTTAACGAATTAGTCTAGCAACAAAGGAAATTCGTTTCAGTTTGAAATTGCCCAAAAAACGAAAAAATGCAAAGCGCTGTCGTTAGAAGATCGTGTTAAAGTTATCACAACAGCAATTAGCGGTGAAGTTTAACTGTGGGAAAGCGAAATCGATTTTACCCTAGACCTATAGTATTTTCCTTGGGATATAAAATATTGTACACGATGCAATTAATCAGCTGATCTCATCATTTGATAAAATTTATTTTTATTTATTTATTTTGAAGCTCTATATACAGTACATGTGCGATAAATAGTTTCTGTATCAACCTACCTTATTTCCATGATATTTTTAGGAAAATAACATTCAAGTAATTTTCGCAGGCAAAATATTCAAAAAACAATAGATGCATTAATGCAAAAATCAGTTTTACAGGCAACCTTCCTTTTTCGATTCCGCAATGACAATCGCGGAATGTAATGAAATCGTATAATGAGAAAAAATAATAAAATCGTTTCATTATTAATTAATAATTTTTCTTATTGTACTTAACAAAATATTAAATATTAAAAAATACAGTATTTTTAAAATTAAAATAAGATTAAATTAACGAATATTAAACAAAAGTGATGTAGAGATACCATGCACTTGTATATCAATGACGTAATACACGTAACTGAGGAGCGAATGAAAAGAACCGAGTGAAGTTAATTAAGTCGGAAGAAAGAAAGTGTGCGTTATAATCGAGAAAATGCGATTGTTGTATTAATCTTTAAAATATTAATATTAAATCCATCGACTCCTGTAAATTGGGTTATCCAATAAGAATAAAATACAATACAGTACCAATATAACCCCATTGTTGAAAAAATTTGCTTATTTTTGCTCACCTCGAGTTTTGCTTAGTAGAAATGGCTAAAAAGTGCGCAAAATACGTACGGAAATACAGTATTACAGAACCACCTGTATTGGATGACCACCTGTCTAAAAGACCACTTTTTGAAGGAACCGTGGGTGGTCGCCATAGACAGGTTTTGCTGTATTTATATATAATAATGAAGGGGATCAAAGGAGAAAACGTTCCTTAAATGGGTTTTTTAAAATCCCTTTCAAGAAATCCCTTGGGAACTCCTGCTCTAGACCAAGACTACTAAACTGTGTAGGCACACTGTTCTGTTCCACCTTAAGTGGTGTAACATCCAAATTCGCACAAGTTAGCTGTAAAGGGAATTGGTGTGTTCAGAGGGCAAGTCATTAGTCACTTAGACTTTCTTTATGCTTTAAAGCTTAGAGAAAGTTTAGAGAGATAGAACTAATTGTGTCTGCTAGGTTTGAAGACCTTTCCTTGTGTTCTTTTTTTAGTCTTCTCCCTCATACTTTATTTTCTATCCCATTATTTTCCCATCTTACCAGGCTCCATATGGTATTGTCTTTCTTTTAATGTTTTCTAAGTTTACAAGGTCTGCTACAACCAAGCATATAAAACTTGGTTGTAGCAAACCCATAACCAACATTGGTAGTTGGTTATGGGTTGACCCCAAACAATGGGTCAGCCATGCAGTTTTTTCTGGATTTTCTTTGCGTGTCTGATATTCAAATACGGGCAAGTTTCCCATAGAATTTCCACCTGATTTCTAATACAGTTGTATACAATTATCAAATATATTACACACTTATTTTTATTAAAATTTTTAAATAATAAAAGGGAATAAATTTTTTTTTCTTTGCAGATAAATGTGTAACGTAATTTTTAATT